TAATCATTCCTCCTAAATCAGTTCCAGATTCCCATGAATCTATTTAAAACAATTTGGGAGGTTTAGTTCTATGTATCTCTTTCAATTTGGAATGATCATCTGCAATCTCTTCAGCATTAAAGTTGGCTTCTTCCTATTAACTTGTCTCACGTATATCTTACTCAAAATTTGGTTCAATGTTCACCAAGTTGTCCTCCAATCTCCAAGGTGTAACTGTGGCTCTTTTAGCAGGACTCATTGGTCTATGATGAGGTGACACTTTTATGGATGAAATTTAATTAGGTGATAAGGATTAATCTTAAATGAATAGCATTTCCTAATTATCTAACATTTCTTTTTAATACTTTTTCCATTCAATAGTATTTTTAAATGTTTTATTATGTATTTCATAGAATGTTTCATTTATTAAAATTAATTTTATCTTAAATTATGGTATGGTCATAGTACAAGTCTTGTCAAAAATGACAGAATCCACCAAAGATAAATCAGCTATAGGAGTTGCATTTAATTTACTGTAAACTGTATTTAAGTCCATTTTCTAATTCACAAATATATTAAATTCCTATTGACTTTTAATACTCTAATTTCCTTTCTGTTTATTAAATTTAAACAATTTCTAACTAGAACTAAGAACTTATAATATATCTAATAATCCTATCAAATAATAAGGAAACATATTCAAATAAAGCAAAAAGTGATCAGCTAAATATAATATTTCCCAACCTTTATCAATATACCTAATTGATTCAATCATCCATGATCCAAAAGTTAACAAAATTATGAGTATTAATGTGAATTTATAGAAAGTATCAACCTTATTTTCAAAAAAAGACTTTGTTGACTTCTCAAAATTGCTAGAAAAATAATATTTACAATTCAAACCACAACTCAACACTAAACCATATACATAATCACAAGTCTGCAATTATTATCCTCTATACAGAATATTCTCTCTTTTAATATCCACAGCCTAAGGATCATTTTTCAATCGAATAAATCCTGTATAAAAAGAATCAGATTTGTAATCCTTATCAAATGTCACTTTCCCACTCAACAATAATCTATATTCAAATCCATTTCCTTTAAATTAATGCATCTTAGGCAAAGATGTTAATTCATTTGCACACTTTATTCCTTCATCTGTCTGTCCATTTACACATGTGTTATTCACATAACATTTTTCTTGGCTTGACTCCAAAATCAGACAATCTGCAGGACAAATTTCATTCCTTTATAATATTATTATGTCTCCTATTTCCAAATCCTCCCATCTTATTGTTTCTATTATACTAACTTTTGTATTTTCATTTAATTCTGTTAATGGTTGAGGAGATGGTGGTATCAGTCCCTTATCTGCTCTTTAAGTAGATATAAATTAGGTCTTATTTAATTTTTGTTCATATTCCATTAAACCGATTTTTTTGTTATGCAAAATTTTCTTCAATTTCCTAAACACAATCACTTATCTTTGGTTTATTAAATTGTCCTCACCATGAACCAAAATCATATAATAAAATGTTTTTATTAAATACATTACTATACCAAATAGAAATGGGATGACAAATCCATATATAAGTTGTTAATTGTCTTGAGTTATACTCAGACATATAATGCTAATTGTAAGAAAAATGTAATTGAATGGCCTTCTCAAATATCTCCATATTATACTCCCCAATGATTACTTAGTGGAAATTTTATTTTTTAATTCTGAAGAAGAGAAGCCTTTTAAATTCACTGTGTCTCCATTTTCAAATTCTATCTTGTTTATTAAATTGTACGATATACTTGCTTAGAATATGAATCATCATTCTTTTATTTTGTTTTCGTATATTTTCTATGCAGGTATTCGTAAATTAACTATGATAATTTCATAATTTTAATATAAAATATGATACAATAATTATGTCTGTAACTTTCTAAACCAAATATGTTTACTTAAAAAAATACTTTTTAAAGCTGTTCTTAACTCACAATTTCTTAATATTTATTTTTCTCATTTATAAAATTCATTATTGTTTTTGCATTTTAGCAGATCTTCACTATTAGTGTAATACAGTAAACAAAGAAGATGATGATATCAAAAATTATTTAAATTTTGGATTTAATTTTAGAAATTTAGATTATAATCTCTTAAGATTGCAATTTTGATAATATATATTCTTTTAATATTAGATTATGTTGTTATAAATTAGCATAGGGAAATAAATTATCAATAAAATAAACTTAAAACTATTAGTCCTAATAATATTTCAATCTTCTTACTTGTATTTAAGTTTATATTTTTTGAATTCAAAATAAGATTCTTCATAAAATCTAAGTACTTTGATATAATAAATATTTTTATTCTTTCCCAGTCCTTACATCCTAATTTGAAAATCATTTTAGTAACATAAATCGAGGAGCTCTATTAATCATCTTAATTATTTTGTAATAAAGTGATTTCAATAATGATGTGATTTTAATATTATTTCTAACATTTAAAAAAAATTTTACCATCAAAATATTGGAATCATATTTACTTTATCTCTAGCTTTTTCAAAAAATTTTAAAATTGTTGTATTATAAAATTTGATTACTAACAATATATTAGAATGTAAATTGAAATCTAATTTTTATTCTTTTTCTTTTATTTTAAGTTTAAAAATTTCTAAAATAAATGTAAATCTTGTTCATGCTTATTATTTTTTATTAAATTTATTATATCAATTACAAATATATATATTTTGATTAATAAATATATGGAGAGATAGATTTAAATAGATATCACAAAAACTGATTTTGTGTATCTTGAAAAATGTTATTAGTAAAAATATAATGATATAATTCGTTGCCATATCATAATATTATAATATATATCAAACCTAAAGATTAGTTAAAATTTAACATTTTGAATTAATTATTATGTATTTATAAAGGCATTCAAATATTCATTATTTCTTATATATATGTATGAAATAAAAGTTTCTATCTAAATATTTGATAGAATTCATATTATTGAAGAAACTAAATTATAAAGAAATTGATATGATTAAAAGATTTGTCAAGATAGTACACGAACCTGCGACCTTAAGCTCACATATATTTGAATGTGAATTCGAAATTGAAATTCTATTTCTTCATTACAATGAAAGCATTAGTAAGGGAATAATGACTTTTATTATAATAAATGTTAAGCTAAATTAGAAATAGATTTGCAATAATTCATCTAAAAAGAGAGGATATAATTAAAAAATTGCAGAAATAGATAAATAAAAAATTGGTCAAGACAGGAATCGAACCTGCGACTTTCGGCTCATAAGACCGACGCTCTAACCGACTGAGCTACATGACCATGTATAATAAAAATGAACTATTAGAATTTGAATTCGAAATCCTATTTCTTCATAACAATTCAAACATTAGTAAGGGAAAAATGACTTTTATTATTATAAATGTTAAACTAAATTAGAAATAGATTTGCAATAATTCATCTAATTAGAGAGGCTATAATTAAAAAATTGCAGAAATAGATAAATAAAAAATTGGTCAAGACAGGAATCGAACCTGCGACTTTCGGCTCATAAGACCGACGCTCTAACCGACTGAGCTACATGACCATGTATAATAAAAATGAACTATTAGAATTTGAATTCGAAATCCTATTTCTTCATTACAATGAAAGCATTAGTAAGGGAATAATGACTTTTATTATAATAAATGTTAAGCTAAATTAGAAATAGATTTGCAATAATTCATCTAAAAAGAGAGGATATAATTAAAAAATTGCAGAAATAGATAAATAAAAAATTGGTCAAGACAGGACTTGAACCTGTGACCTTCGGTTTATTAGACCGACGCTCTAACCGACTGAGCTACATGACCATGAATAATAAAAATGAACTATTAGAATTTGAATTCGAAATTCTATTTCTTCATAACAATTCAAACATTAGTAAGGGAAAATGAATTTTATTATGATAAACGTTAAGTTAAATTATAATTTAAAGATTAATGGATATTGTTCTTATACAATAGAATATTAGCTTTTAAAAATAGATATGCAACACTACAATTAATTAGAGTGGCTATATTAAAAAAGATGCAGAATTAATTAAATAAAAAATTGGTCGGGGCGGGAATTGAACCCGCGACCGTTGGCTCATAAGACCAACGCTCTAACCAACTGAGCTACTCGACCATATACAATGAAAATAATATAATTTATCATAAATAATCAGTTTAATTGGTAAACTTTAATAATACAGTCTCAATTAGAATAAATAATATAGTAAAAGTTTATATTGAAAAACAAAAATTAATGTGTTCCTTTATTTAAATAATATATATTATAGTCATCATAATAATTTTTCCTCGACAACACTTTTCTAAAGTATCTTTTAATATATTTAATAATTGCATTTGGATTATTCTTTTATATAGTTAGAATAGTATCATTATTTCAAATCTTATTCAACCTTTAATATTTAAATAATTATTATTTTAATGTCTATTTTTCTTTAAACAATTAACCACATTAAATTTATATCCTTTGTTCTGATTTCTTAATTATTTTCTTTTCATCAGAAATATAAAGAATTTAATATCAATACTAAATCTTTTGATTTGATAAATTGCATTTATAATATTTTTTGTTTAAATGTCCTTTTTTTATTTAATTCTAATAAATCTTTACAATTTTTACCTGAATTTAATATTTTATTATTCTTTACATTAAAAATTCTAATAACCAATAAAATATTGTGCATATTGATTGAGAAAAATATGAGTCTTATTTAAATCAAATTCGATTTTTGTAAATTTTTAATCAATAATTATTAAATAAATTATCATTTTAAACTTAATTAATTTAAAAGTTGATAGTTATTGTAAGTTGATGATACATTTAGATTTTTATTAAGTATTATGAAAATCAAAGTAGAAGTATTTATTAATGAAATAAAAAAGGTTATGGATTTTAAAGATAAAATATTAATAATTTTTATTTATGTATTAGAATTAATTCAATCAACTACAAATTTAGCATGTCTTTTAATATTGCCAACACTATAATCTAATTAAGATATATCCGCCAGATTTGATTCTGTGATTGAGATATCTTCAACTTACGAATTGGATTGTTTACTAGTTCTCTTGCTATTTTTACTGCTGTATATATTTAAATTCTTATATATTTTTTCAACATCTATTCCTCTAGATTTAACTGCTTTCACTAATTGTATTAATTTACGCTCCTTTTCTGATAATGTTAGCATTTTTTATTACATTTCCTTAATTTAGTCTTTTAGTTTATTGCGATCATTAAGATTATCTTTATTACCTTAACTCTTCTTAATTTGATTTAATTCATCTTAATATTATAAAACTCTGTGTTGTATTTCGAATTCTTTGAGTTAATTTTCTAAAATAAAAAACAGAATTACCAAATTTCTATTAGTTCTCTTTAGATTATTATTCTAATTGTTATAATTTAATCAACAATTAAGCCTTTTCTTAATCATATACCTACTTTTCATTGGTTTTTTGATTCTGAATAATTTATTTGATTGATTGTATAAGTTAAATTAATATAAGGGACATATCCTACTCATTGATACAAGAACTCAATCCTGCAAGCAATTTAGTCAAAATAATATTCAACTCTTTGATATCGATATTTTTATGGATACTGTCTACAGTGGATTTAATCAATCTGATTATTTCCTTTTTCGAAGCCTCTGATTTTAGATAAGATTATTCAGAGAAATAACTTTAAACAGAAAGTGCATCTTTTTTTTAAGTTGATTAAGTGGTTTATCTACTCTGTAATAATATCAAATGATACCAATCGTTTGTCAGGAGTCAATAAACTATTATTGTTATAGTATTTAGATACCGATAATGATTTCATAAAAATTAATAAAAATTTATAAATAAAACATATCAGCAATTTTAATCTAAACCTGGTTTCTTAATAATAATTGGATTAATTATACTAATTTCTAGAAATATTGTAGACAAGGTGTTAAATTCAACCCACAATTTTCATAATAAGAAGTACAGGAGCTCTGACAAATCGGAATTGTCAAATTTGTAGCTGCATCACAAGGTGGGAAATTCCATTTACATAAGAATTGTTTATATGCTTTATAACAAGTATCGTCTTTTATTAACACGCTTTCTACATCTCCATTAATTTCTTAAACTAATCTGTCCCTTACATAGGCCACAAAATCTAATCGAATTTCTTTGTCTCTGTTTTCAATAGTATGGTCTGGCCATAATTTCTAATATCTAGTTATAAACTACTCTAATTTCAGGAACACAAACATAATCATCAAGTTCATCATTACAGAATTCTACTCCATCAGATATTTAAACTCTTTGTGAACATACACCTGATTCATAACCATTAATCTAACATCCAAAAGTGAATTCTGAAATTATAAATAAAATAAACATAATTTTAATGAAAAATAGACATATTAGTTTATAAAGTAATATGACAATCGACTTTTTAATGTATGATGTTTGGAACTTGAAAATACAATTTTTAAAAAATAGAGGTTATAATATCTGGATTATTTGATCAAATTTCATAATTGAAAAATGCAATCAAAATTTAAATAATCTTAAATTTTTTTAAATATTTATAGAGGAAGAAATTAATACATTTAATGAATGGGTTTCATTAGATTTATTCTTAATTTGCTATTCATTTGTTTGTAAATTTAATTTTTTATTTTAATAGACTTTTGATATTTGATTTCTTTATGTTTATTTAACAAAATAGTTGTTTATATTAGACAAATAAAATAATACTCAATAATGTATCTAATAACATTTGAATAAAAGTTGTTCCAAAATCTATTCCATACCTTTATTTAAGTGTTAATGTTATAAGAATAAAAAAGGAAATCATCATTTAAAAAACAAGGTCTTAAACAATCCTTAGAATTAGTTTAAGATTAGTTTTAGATCAGAGAATTTTTGAGGCATCTTCTAAGGTTCATAAAAAAACTTAAGAATATATATAGTTTCTTTAATTAATAGGGCAATAAAAAATATGTCTGAAGATTTAGTATAGAATTAGAAGATCGAATATATTAAATAGAGATATTAATTAATACGAATTTAATTAAAAGAGATTTTTATATGATTAATAATTCATTTGAAGATCTTGATAGATTTTCTTTTGAATTCATGTAAAACGATAAATTAAAATCATTAGTTTAGGAATGTATTTACCTTTGCAAATCCAATATTATTGAGTATATATGATGAGTTGTCGAGTAAATGATAATAAAATGAATTATTTATTAATATTGCTTTATATATATTAAAGTACAATATTATCATTATTTACAATCATAATCCCAATTTTATTGGCAGAAAAGGGATATACATTTGAATAATAAGGTATGTATTCATTGATCAGCTATCCATTTTATTTTAAGTTTTTGTTTGCACCAATAATTGACTTGTATTAATTTTAATTCCTAGGCAAACGAAAAAGGTAATTATTAAAATTAATAGAGCATAGCTATATTTTACCAATAAATTTGTTATTATCAGTAATACTTTTATATTTGTCCAGAATTGACATTTTAACAAATTACTACATATTATGGATTTTAGGATTAATTTTGTGTTTATTTCTTGGAATTTAAGATATAGCAATAGATGGATTAGCAACTGATTTATGTAAGCAATAAGGGGAAAGTGCTGCATTATTATAAAATATTGGATTTACAATAGGAAATTCGTTTCTTGGAAATTTCTTATTTATTGCATTGTATTCTTCACAAAATTGCACACTTGAGACATTCTTTATGATATTATCAATAGTAGGATTAATATTGACTATTTTCTTGTATCTAAATTTGTGTGAGAAGGAGGAAGAAGAAAAGAGAGCAACTACTTTTTAAGACTTATTGAGTGTTATTAAATCATTTTTTAAAAACGAAAATATGATCACATATTCATTATTAATATTCTTTGAAAGGTAAATATATAATTAATAATTAGAACTGCATTGTCTTCATTAGATGCAACATTCAGATTGAAATTAATATAATTTAATATCAACAAAACCTACATTTCTTTTATTGATACAATAATTTTACCATTGAAAATAGCAACAGGATTAATCTATCACTAATATTTTTATAAATATGATTTTAAGTATTATAGTTTATTTAAATATATTTAGATATTATGGAAACATTCAATATTTGAGATTAATTTCTACATTCTTTGCTATTATCACTTTATTATTGATTGATAAATTTGAATTGGATGGGCCATTTAGTTATATTGCCATATTCTTTTCAAATATGTGTTGGTGGATTATGTTTAATATTACATACATTGTTAGAGTATTGGATATTTAATTTAAATTTAAGGGTAACTTCTAAATGAAAATAACTACTCCTGGAGTCGAAGCCACTACTCTAACTATACTTAATAGCATCAGTCAATTAGGTGTTAAGTTGGCATTTTCTATAAATTTGATTATGGCCAATTATGTAAATTATTATTGGTTGTTATGTGTTGGATGGATCATCCATTTACTCTATTGTTTTAGATACTCAGAAATCTACAGAAATTTGTACATGTAGCCCATTCAAAAGTGGTATTTAAATAAATAAATAAAATAAATTTGATTTTATTAATGAACTATCTTTTGTTATTTCTGTACATTTACTAAAGTTCAATGCTTTCCATATTTACTTAGATTATGCCTATTTTACTTGCAGAACATGGATTTAATTATGAGTAGTAAGGCCTATTCTCCTTGGTGGCCTATCCATTTTTCTTCAAGATCATATTTGCCCCTTTCATAGACCTATTTCACTTTAAGTCTTTGGGTAGAAGAAGAAGGTACATTTTTTAATTGAAAATAGTTATATTTTACCATGCACAATATTAATGTCTTTTAATTTGTTCTGGTAGTCTAGTCTAGATATTCAACATAATTATCTCCTTTTTTGCTTTATAGGATTATTTAATGCAACATTTTTAGGAATGCAAGATATAGCTATAGATGGATTTGCTGCAGATCTATGTAAAAAGAGCAATGAAAGTTCTGCTCATATATTGAATGTAGGTTATACTATAGGTAGTTCATTTTTGGCCAATTTCATTTTTCATTCTCTTAATAAATATTAATTATGCTCCTTATCTACTTATTTGAAAATGATCTCTTTATTTGGATTATTGATGGCAGCTTATCTTTTATTAAAAGTCAAGGAAGAACCAAATACATAATTAATAAGAAAACTTACTGGTTTCAGACAAGTCATCAAAGGTATATTTGGCAATGAGAATTTGATCACACTTTCCTTACTTTTATTCTTTGATAGATATGGAGTAGCACCAATTGAATCTACATTTAGAATCAAATTGACAGAATTGAAATTTAATAAGGCTTATGTGTCATTTATGGATACAGCTATTATTCCTTTAAAAATAGGTGTTGGATTTGTTTATCATAAATATTTTAGTAAATACAACTTTGAATATTATGGTTATGTTCAAGGATTCAGATTAATTTCATGTCTCTTTGCAATTTTGACTGTTTTTTTGGTTGATGTTGTCAAAGTAAATGATACCTTAAGTTATATTGCATTATTCATAGCAAGTACAACATGGTGGATAGTCTTCAATTTGACATTTATTGTTAGAGTAAGTATTTTTTGAGTATTGATAGGGAAACTTTTAAATGAAGATAACAACTCCAGGATATGAAGCTACAACCTTAGCTTTGATGAATAGTTTAGGATCATTGGGTGGTAAGACTGGATTCTCTTTATGTATGTTCTTAACTGAATATGTAAATTATTATTGTTTTGCATGTTTTGCTTTGGTAGCTTAATTGTTATTCACTCTAAAATCGATTAAGTTATACAAAAGGCTTTACAATGTTCCATTGGAGAAATATAGTATAATTAGATAGAATTTGAAATCAGAATGAAGAATATATAATAGAAATTAATTATAATATAATTGTGTTTTTAATGAGAAATAAATAATAATAAGATTATTTAAATTATTTAAATTATCAGGAATGTCTTAAGAACTATATTAATTATTAGTGTTAGCATATACTAGTACAGACAATGCAATTAGACAACAGGCTGAAGCTAAGTTGATAAGTGGAGTAATAGAGAATATCTAAAATTTCTAATCGATAGCTTAGATAGCAAAGAGTTAGGATAGCAGTATATAATAAATAAAATAAAATAAGTGTAACATTAGGCAGCAAGTTTGTTAAATTCAGTAGTTTTAAGGATGTTATAAAGTAATAGTATGAAATTTGCACTTATTATTTTAGTTGAATTATAATTGGAACATGCTCAATTAGTGTTTGATGTGATAATATCATAATAGACTTCATTGAAGTGCAAACAATTATTGTAAAAATCTATGAGTTTATTGATTAAATTAAATAAAAGTAAAACACTTCATAATTAAATTGATAGAAATTAAGCCAGAAATCGAAAACAAAATGAAGTAATTAGTAAAGAGTGATTAAATATGGGAAATACAATCAGGATTATTTTTCTTTAAGACATTGATTGATTCTTTAGATTTGTCATAATATAATCTAATATTGAATTAAGGATTAGATTGGATAAAAGATTTCTTTGATTTAATATATCCATTATTGAAGTAATTGGATGAATAATTAGATAATTTAACTGAAGAATATATAATCACTATTAGATATTACATATAAATTGTAAGTGAATATTGTGAGAAATTATTTAAATAAAAGGCTCATAATAAAGAATCATTGATTCCACTTTAAAATATGATGTTTAAATTAAATTCATTTTAATTAACCTTATTTACTATTTTTAAATACTCACCTTCAAATAATGTAATAAAAAGTTGTATCATTTCTTGCACAAATAATGAACAATTTGATAATAAAATAAATGAAATTAAAATGTATGGATTAAAATGTCTTTAATTATTAATAAATTTATTAATAAGCAAAAGTAAAAATGAATAAAGGAATAGTGTATTTTATAATCAATAATCTAATTTGTGTTAGTTATTGTTATATTCTATATTTGCATATACAAGATAAACAAAAATCCAAGATATTTTATAGTAATTACTAAGCTATAATTAGGAAACAATTTCTACCGAGTATTTTGAGTAGTATGTTGAGATTATTGGCACATTTAGGTGGATAAACTGAACTATATCATTATTTCCAAGAATCTAAAGGTCTTTTGATTACAGATATTATCTATCCATTTTTAATTACTACTAAAAATGAATATCAATTAATGAAAGAGTAACCAGAAGAATTTGTTAATATTGCATTAGATGTTGTTGATAAATAAGAATCAGATTTACCAAAAACAGCAGCAACAACTTTACTTGAAACATTATGTGATCATATAGATGGATCAACATCTTATTTAGCATAAATGGCTATAGTTGTAATATCTTCTGCAATTTTGGAATTGTCACAATCTTAATTAAGTAAATAATAATAACAAATTATATTAACAGATATATAATAGATATCTGATAAAAAATTATTCTAAGAATTTACTGCTGTTGATAGAATAGAAAGTAGTTTAATGATTTTAGCTATTATAAGTTATTTAGTTTAAAAAAGATAGGATATTATATAATTAATGGAATAATTGTTATAATCAAATCTTTTATTCTTTACTAACACAACTGAATAAATTATAAAAGTTAGATTTGCATTATTTTTTGGTTATTATTGTGATAATTTATTTAAAGTGGAATCCTAATTTTCACTTATGTTAAATTACATATAATTATTGATAACTTATGCCAAACCATAAGAACCTGTTGTATTGTATTAATCTATTGATGCATTAAAAGATATTTTTGAAAATGATGAATTGAAACATAAAACTGGAAGTTTAGTGGTTAATGTATTTCCATCCTTAATAAATGGTTTGAGATTTAGTACTTATGAAAGACATTTTGAAATGATAGGAAATCTACTTAAGAAGTTCCCTTCTATATTCATTGCAAATGAAACTTACATAATCAATCTAATTTAAATATTAGTCTAAAGAATAATATTAGAAGAAAAATAGATAAAGACAAATAATGATTCAACTAGATATATTCATCTCAATAGATGTTGGAATCTTATTAGATAATTACCATCAATTAATGAATTTTCACCTCTTCTTCTTAAAATTGAATAAGCTATGCAACCAATTTATGAATCAATTGTTATCTAAGATAATCCAATGAATTTTGATGAAGATTTAATATTGTTTATCTCTTCTGTTATCTAAAAAATTTAATCAATTACTCAATTCCAAAAAGACATCTTACCTTACTTTTCTAAAATCATCACCAAACAATCTGGAAAATTTGTATATTTGTATGAAACATTAAATATGTATATGTATTATGGAAGAAGTTATTTCTTATAAGAGTAAGCACAAACAATTTATTTTTAATTATGTCTTCAAAGTTTGATATAAGAAGAAGCTTTTGAAGATATCGATTTAGCTGAAGGTGCACTATTAATCTAATTAGGAATTTAAATACTACAGAATGATATCAATTAAACTATATTAACTTAAGTGTTCTAATAAGTACTTTAATTAATTGCTAAAGAGAATGTTACAGGAATTATTCGTTCTAGAATTACAGCAATATTTTTGGTGGCTTTTTATTATATTCCATAATAATCATATTAAATATTGGGTGAACTTTTTTAAAATGTTTATTAAAAAGTCTTAATAACTCAATATCATGCAGGTTATGATATTAAATTATTTATAATTACAATTTGTAAATTAATTTAATCAACTCCTTAATTATTGAATGCAGAATTAATATAAATAATTATTAGGAATTTAGAAATTTAAGAAAATGATGAAAAAACAGATAAAACAGATTTTGAGTAAATTAATTATTAATTATATAGTGATGATATGATGGATGATGATGAAGAAGAGGAGGAAATTTTAGAAGAAGAGGAAAGACAATAGGCTAAATAATAAATTGAATTACTTAAAAGTGATTTATAAAATATTGATGAATTCACACTTTTTAGAAACACTCTATTGAGTTTCAAAACTTAGTAAAATTTAAGTTTATATTAGATATCCAAATATTATTGAATCAATTAAATAAACTCTTGATCATTCAAATTAATAAAAATTAAACAATTATCTAAAATTTATGAGAATTGATAAAAGTGAGAATGCAAGGAAAGTAAAACTTTATATATATATATAATTTAAGGTTATGACAACTGGTAAAAGAAAAATTAGATAAAATATATGAAATAATTATTATATGTGAATAAATAGTTCTTTATTATTTATAAAAGTTATAATCCTATGAAATACATTTAGATGGCTGATATCTTTGGAGTACCATATAGACAATAGATCACTTTAGATGAAAAAGTTTAAAAGTCTGTTCTTGGTGGAATAAGTTCCTTGATTTTAATCTTAATTGGTTTTGGTTACTTGATTTATGTTATGAATGAATGGATTAATTTCAATATATTACCTAAATCATCTAGCACTATGAAGGTTGATAATTATTCATAAATATTATTTGATAATGAATAGCTTTTTGAATTTTGTTATTGGAAATATGATCAATCTTAAATTGATCCTTTTAGAATGAAACGTAATATATTAACTCCAGTTGGAATCTATTTCATAGATGGTATTCCCCAAAAACCCTTTTCATTATTAACAGAAAATTAAAAACAATCTATATATAATACTACTCTCATGAGTATTAACAATTTATAATTAATTCAAAATAGTAATTTCAATAAAGAATTGAATGCTACTAAAGAACTAATGATTGTAATAACATCTTGTAATTAAACTTTGATGAATGAAGGTTATGAATGTGCATCAGAAGAAGAGATTCAAGATTTCTTTAAGTCATCAGTTAATTATATAAGTTTCTGGTTGAATTTGAAATAATATGATCCTTATACTCAATCATTTGAAGTAGTGAAGAAATAGTATTACATGTCTTTTGATTATGAGATTGCACAATAAGGCTAATTGATTCTTACATAAACAAAGGCTACAATTGATACAGGAATTCTCTTTGGAAAATTCTACTCTAAAAGCTATGTATACAATGCTTAACTAGTTACAAGTGCAACATCTAAAAACTTTTGGTAGACTTTATTAGTTTAATAATCATATTTCAATTTGTTCATACGATTAGATCCAATGTCGTATGACACTTAAATTGTTTATCCAAAATTAGGAGAAATTCTAGCTTAAGTTGGATCTATAATAAGTATGTTAATGATCATCCAATATGCTATATAACATTATAATGAACGTATTTTGGATTGCGATTTTATAGATAAAGTCTTAAAGTTTTATTTTATTGATTATGTTTATTTAAAGTAATCAAAAAATAAATTAGATAAAGAAACATGTTAAGAATTAATTTAATCAGCAAAGAAGAAATTAGTTTACACAAATATCATTTATGAGTTATCAAGAATACAATTATTTTTATTATATCATTTTGGACGGACTCCATTAGAATAAACACATAATCTTGGTCTATATGCTAAAGGTGATTTCAAGCCAAGTTGTGATTTATATGATAAATTCATTACGATTCCTAAAAATGAAACTTAGTAACAATAAATACATTTTGATAAAGCAGATTTTAATTTATTATGTAGAGCAAAATCGAAAACAATGATTTTAGGTGGCAATAATAATAATAATTATTAAGGTGATTCAGCAGCCTTGGATAAAATTTTTTCAGAGGTCAAAAGTTCTTCATTAAAGTCAATTTAAACATGATATATTATTATTATATACATAATTATTTAATATAGATAATGTATTAACGGGAAAGAAGAAGAATATATTCAATATAAAATAGAGAACCAATTAATGTACCAAAATATCATATTGATGCTTCAATGGATAACTTATAAAAGAGAAAGACTCTAAGTACGGAGTTACCATAATTGATTTAAAATAAATTGTAAATGATAAATTATACTACTTCTATGCAATTACAACAAAAAACTAAATATGAACAATTATCTTTAAAGATTTTAAAGGAACCATATAAAGTATTTAATAGCAAATAAAGAATTATAACCAATCATTATATGTTACAATAAAAAATATAAGATGTCTTAGCTTAAGATAGCATAAGAAATAGATTATCTGATTAAGATTAAACAATAATTAAGGGATTAGTGATGCTTCCTGCTTAAAATGATTAATAATATACAATTCCTATTTCAAGATAGGGCAGTCGAGTGGTGAAGTATGATAATCATGGATTAGTATTTGGAGGACATTCACATAGAGAAAATATTGAAATTCATGCTATTTCATTAATAAATGGTTAATGGAAAAGGAAACAGGAGTTTTATTATTTTTAAATAGAGTAATTGAAATAGAAATAGATTCTAAATCCTAATTTGAGATTGGGTTGTTATTTTAGTTTGAATATAGATGAAAATAAAACAATATATGCTTTTGGAGGAGAGAAAAATACAAATAATAGAAAAACTACAAATATGATTACTAAAATATGTATAGAAGAAAATCGATTAGAATGGTAATAATTTCATACTAATATTGGATGTCGTAGAAATCATAGTGGAAATTATACTCATAATCATCTAATTGTTATTGGAGGAATAGATGATAGTGATTTTAACACTAAATATTATAATGATTTCTAATTAATCAATTTATCTAATATGCATAGTACTTAAATTTATCCAAAGTTTTATTAAAAATAACTAATATAAAATGATCATCCTTTTAAATTGGGAATTGCCTATCATAGTACAACCTTAGTAGGTAATCCATATTTAAGAATTAATTATGATTTCACTTAGAATACAAAAAAGGAAGAATAAGTAGATCAATAATTTTCTAAAGAAGGTATTTATATTTTTGGTGGAAAGGATAGTGAAGACAATTTATATAATGAATTGTATTAATTAATTATTGATACTTATCCATCAGTATTATAGATTTTGGAGACATAGGGTTAAAAACCTGAAAGTAGAAGATCACATAGTATGAATTATTATGAAAAGATAAGTGCATTAATATTATTTGGTGGAACAAATGAAGTTTAATGTTTTGGAGATTTACATTTATTATTTTTAAGGAATTATACTTGGTAGAAAGTATAATTGCAAGGGTATTTGGAATACCCATTGAGATATGAACATTGTAGTGTTTTTAATGAAGATAAATTGTTCATTTTTGGAGGTTTAAATTAAGATGGGTTTTTAATATATAATCCTATTTAAATATAAATTAAATTTAAAACAAATTCTAAGATTATTTGAATTTATATATATATATATTAAATTTTTCTTAAATTATACTAATTCAAATTGATGTAAATATAGAAAGTAAGTTGTTTTGGGGCAGGTTATGTAGGAGGACCAACAATGGCTGTAATGGCCTCAAAATGTCCAAAATAGACCTTTGTTGTTTATGATATCAATGAATAGTAAATAAACAAATGGAATACCAAACAATATCCAATTTATGAGGAAAACTTGAATGAATATATAAATAAAACCATAGAAAAAAATTTAATATTCACAAATGATATTGACCTTGCTTTAAAGGATTGTGATATCGTATTTTTAGCTGTCAATACTCCAAGTAAAAGTTATGGATTAGGAGCTGAATCTTAATTAGATATATCATATATTGATAGCTGTCTTCAAACCATAAAGAAATATCCATTGACCAGAAAACTAATATTGGTCGAAAAATCAACTGTTCCTATTAAAACTTGCGATTATATTAATGCAGTGTTAAAGAATTAGAATATTTGTGTTTTGTCAAATCCTGAATTTTTGGCTGAAGGGACTGCAATCTAAGATCTTCTATATCCAGATAGAGTTATTATTGGTGGATCATTAGAATCCAGTTAGTAGCTTGCATCATTGTATGAATAGTGGGTACCCAAGGACAAAATAATTTTTACAAATATTTATTCAGCCGAATTAAGTAAAATTGTTGCAAATTCATTCCTTGCTTAAAGAGTGTCTTCAATTAATAGTATATCGATAATCTGTGATAAAATTGGTGCAGATGTCAATTAAAGTAATGTTATCAGACTCTATATATTTATTAGTTTCATAATGTATTGGGAGTGATAGTAGAATTGGTAATAAGTTTTTGAAGACATCTGTCGGATTTGGTGGATCATGTTTCAAGAAAGATTTGCTTTGTTTAATATATATGTGTGAGTCCCTTTAATTAGAGGAGGTAGCATAATACTGGAGATAAGTTTACCTATTAAATGAATATCAAAAACAAAGATTTATCAACTTAATTATTACATCCATGTTTAACTGTTTGAGAAATAAAGTAATTGTTATTTTGGGGGTAACATTTAAAGCTAAGACTAATGATACAAGAGAGAGTGCTGCTTTGATGATTATTAAAAAATTACAAGAGGAATAGGCAATATTAAGAATTTATGATCCCCAAGGAAAAATAGATAATGTGGAGTAATGTTAAAGTTTGGATGGTATTTTTTAAGGAGCATCTGCTATAGTGATAATAACAGAATGGGAAGAGTATAATTATGTTAATATATAATAGATTTTCTAAAATAGATTATGTTTAAGCTTTCAATTAGATGGCTAAACCTTCATATTGTTTTGATGGTAGAAATTTATTATCAGGTGATTTAATGAAATCTATTGGGTTTCTATATTATGGATTAGGGAGAGTATGAAATTGAGTAAAAATAGAAATATGAAAAAAAAATGATTTAATTTATAATAATTATCAATAATGTCTGAAGAGTAATAGTAATATTGGCCAATTTTTACAGAGTTAGATGATACCAAAACATTCTGGAACAAGAAATCTATCAATTTTACTAAATATACAATAATTTATCAACAGTTAATGAATAGAATTAGTTGGAAAAGTAATAAGCCTACTGAATATGAATTTTTATTAAGTGAAGAAGGTGTGCTGTTTTATAAGCAAAATAATAAGGTTAAGGGATATGTTGAATTAAACGAAGACATCAGTCTGAAATTGATTGATCTAAAAATCTCAAGCAAGAAAACAGATGCTGTAAAAGTAATCAGAATTAAGAGAACTAAAGATATCTTCAACTATATTTGGAATAAAGATTTGTACTTTATAGGTGCATTCTTAATTTTAGTTAATATACTTTTCAGTTTTTGAAACATTTATGTTAATTCTGTTTTGTTCAAAATTTAGATTAGTTATACACATTACAAGATGTGATTGGAAAGGGTGGATTCTCCAAAGTCTATACCCTAACCCCAAATATCAGACTACCTAACCAGTCCTTTAATTATGCAGGTAAAGTCTATAATAAAAACGAATTATTATCTAAAAAAGACTTAAAGAAATTTTATCAATTCATTCGGAATGAGTGTTATGTTTTAAAAAGAATTAATTTTCCTTATGTTCTAAAATTATGTGAGATAATTCAATTGGATGAACTCTTAAGTATGAATGTAATTGTTATATCATTTTAGTCTTAGTGACTGAATATATTAAAGGAGGGTCTCTATATTAATATTTGAAAGAAAGAAAGCGACTCACAGAACTTGAATCTACTCAGATTTTACAGAAGTTGGCATTAGGATTGTAATAAGTACATAAGTAATATAACTTATCTATTTATTAAGTTTAGGATATGTTCATCGAGATATTAAATTAGAGAATGTACTTATAGATAAGGATTAGTTGAAATTAATTGATTTTGGATTTGCAGAAAAAATATGTAGAGATAGATTAGTTAATGGTTAAGGAACAGCTGGTTATATTGCACCAGAAGTATTCATTAAATAACCATACTAAGAAGTAGGGGATATATTTAGTTTAGGTGTTATATTTTATTCAATGTTATCAGGTAAGGCTCCATTTAGATCAAATACTTATGATGCTTTACTTAAATTAAACAAGGAATGTTAAATAGATTTTTCAGAATTGAGATTTCCTAATGTTAGTCAAAAGACTATGCATCTTTTAAAAGCGATGTTATAGAAATAACCAGAAAATAGAATTAATGTTTAGGATTTATTAAATTAACTAACTGTTCATTAGATATTTTCCCCTTTTCATGTAGTTGCTTCAACATAATCTATAGTTGAGGGTTCAGTTGGTTTAAGCTTTAATCATTTGTAATCAAAAAATACTCTAAAATCATTTTATTAACATAGTCAAAATTCATTTATTGAAAATAATAGTTAAATATCTTAATAAAAACCATCAAAAAATTTAAAGGATAGACGATATAAGAGTTAGAGTATGGATAAAAAAGGTATGTTTTTGAAATCATCATCTTTTAAACCTTCACTTAAAAGTATTTATTAAATAAAAATTGAATAATCTGATGATAATATTTCCATCACAGATTTTGAATCACCAATACCATAAGAAAGTCTTCAATTTCTTTAAACTTCTTATTAAAAACTAAATTGTTAAAAGTTTATTTGATTTATTTATAACAATGTGTATTTATATATCATAAATAATAGTATTCTCCATTGAATTCCATATTTTTAAATTTGTTCTTTACATCTCCTAAATTATATTCTTTGAATGAATCTAAAATATTTTCAAATTTGCGATCTCCTATCATTATTTATTATAATATTTACTTTTATTTAATAAATATAAAATAAGTCTTAATATATCTAATATATTTGGATTCTCCTTTATAATTTTTAAACTATAAACTTCTTTAATCAATTTTATAGTTAATTAATAATCATCCATCTAATTATCTTCTTTTCCTTTATCTTAAAAATAAAATAAATCAAAAATATTGCTTAAATTTATACAATTCCTTACAATAAAGAAACTACTAGTTTCAGTATTATAAAATACAAAACTTAACATTTATGATAAATACAAAACATTATTGTAATATTCATCTCTTTTCATTTTACTCATACAACATATTTATTTAAAATTGTATCCTAAAGATGTTTTTTATTATTTATCATAAGTAGTTGCTAAAATAAGTTCAAGCATCTTTTTGGAATGAATTAAGGCAGGTTTAACATTTAATTAAGTACATAATATAGCCATTGATTGAGTCATTCTTTATACTGTAGGATGAAATAATTTAATAAAATAAATGAACAATCCACTTACAGTTTATTAATAGATAGTTTTACAAATTAATTCAAAATCTTACAATGATTCATAATATTATAATTCTATTGATTCTTCAAAAATAAAGGTTTTGTAGTAATTAGATAAATCAAACATATCAATAAAGAATTTGGATAATTATATATAATTATTTTCTAAATTTTTAAATAGTTCTTTTTTATGAAATTTTTGTAATAACTTTCTTGCAGATTTAAATGTTATAAGAGAACTTGAATAATTATCTTTCCTTTGAAATTCTTATATAAATTTGACTACAGAATCAGTTGCCTTTTCCAAAATTATATTATTAATTTTAACAGTTTATGATAAAGCTTAAGTATTCATCAAATATCTCTTAATCTATACTTCTTCTTCAATATACTTTTCATCAATTTTATATTCCAAATATTGATTCAATTATACTCTTTATAATTTATGAAATATTTTTGGATGATCTTTTTTGATTTCATGTAAAATATCAACCAATACATAATCTACTTATAATTAGTCATATGGAACAAGTTAATTACATATTGGACATTTCCATCTATTTTCATTTGGTTTTTCATTAATTGTCAAATAAGCATTCAATTCAAAACAATCAAAATGTTAACATTATTTTCCTCTTACTGGAATTTCTAATTATTACATAGTAATTCCATCTATTAATTTTACTGAAAATAATGTATCCTATAGAGTATCATCAATTACTTAAAATTTAAATTAATATAATACATGATAATGACTTAATCTTATCTTAATATTATTACTTTTATTAAGTAATAATTGAGTCTATTATTTTCTCTCTTCCAACATCTAATAATTTACTCTTTAATTCTGATATTTTAATACTTTTAACCAATACAATACCAAGTAAAGAATTACATTCTACATCTTCACCAATTTTAACTTTTATTGTATTTACTCCCCATTATAAACAAGTTGATGGTCTAAAATTATAATATTTTATAATTAGATATACATATATCCATAATCATTTAAATGATATGCAATATGATGTTGATTGTTTAATTCAACATATACATTTTTACTTGGCCATTCATACAATTTTTTTGGTTCTTTTGTTTTAGTACAAAATATTGCAAGGATTATAGATTTTTTCTTAAGTTCTTCATAATATTGATTCACTTCAAATGAGAATACTTTCTCTAGTAATTAAGTAGGTTTCTTAATTATAGCAACATTAAATTTATTGTTTAACTTAATGAACGTCTAATATTTTTAGTGAAAATTTACTTCAAATTACATCAATGGATTATTTGCAGTTAAAGAACATTAAAGACATCTAAGTTATTATGGTTATTTATCTGTTATTTGATAATCATAACATTGCCAATGATGATTCTTATGACAAACATAACAAATAAAACTATCTAAGATGTTATGTTATTCACAATAACATTATTTTTACATTTAATTAATAATTTATTCATAAATTAGTTAAACAAGAATTAATATAAACATTAACTTTTACTAACTTCAAAGTTATCAATATAATTAAATGTTATTATTAATTCTCTTATCTAAGAATAAGAAAATTATAAATATATTATATAATAAATATAATTTTTCTGGGAAATAAATACTCTTGTAGTTTATTATTGAATTTCTTTATTCTAAAATAATAAATGACCATAGAATTTATTAAATTATATAATTTAATAATTAATATTAATTAAGTTTTACCAATTATTGAAAATATTATGAATATTAATTGATTGATTGATAGTGTTCTCCTTTAAATAACTCATTAATTTTTAATAAATAAATAATCTTACTAAAATATAGAGATATATTTATAATTAATATATTTTAATAAATGTAAATTATTTATTATATTATATATATTATATATATTATATATATTATTGCATATTTGATATTAATATAATTATGTTTATCAATTCATTATAATTCTTTAATTCTTAAATAATGATAATAAATCTATTCCTGTTTTAGAAATTATTGTACTATTCTCAACAATTGTATCCTATGATTCAAATTTTAAAATTTATGACATTGAATATTTCATAGAATAAATTGAATTCTATTTCTAATAATATCGAATGGATTTATCATCACTATAAGAAACATAACAATTTGCTTTTAAATTAACTGCTGCTCCTTTTACTTCTTCATCATGTTCATTTTAAATAAGAATTGATTTATCTTCTTCATCATAAAATATTACTTATTTATCTTTTAAATTTGTTGTAATCAATAATGTCTTTTCATTTAAATAATTGAGACTATTAATGGAGAAGTCTTTAAAATCCTTTTCATAGAGTATTTCAAATGATTCTGTTGAAATCACTTTAATTAATTCTTTAAAAACAACAACTAATTTAGATTTATCAGGAGATTAACTTAAACAAATAATGTTTGGTTGATTTAAATCTAAAAAGTCTTTTGTTTTTTCACCTTTATAATTCCAAAAGCAAAGTTTACCATCTTTATCTCCTGAATATATTGTATTGTTATCATCAACCAAAAATGTAGTAGGAAAATGATTATTTGATTCTTAAGCATAAGAATATTTAAGTTTTTTTTACAATATAGGGATATAATATAATTAATCATCCTTAGACCAAATAATCCTTCTCTAATTAAATAAGACTAAAATTGATTAATTATCATTTAAATTTACAATTTTTTCTGATAAAATTAGATCTTCTGATATCCACATACTTAATCCTTCAAATGTATGTAAAACAAAATAGTTTTGATCATTAGATAGATAAAAAGAGTTTATAGTTGATCCAGTATCTAAAACTCTGATTGGTTTATCATCTTTCCATTATTTTAATATTCCATCAAGTCCAGCTGTAATAAATACATTTTAACTATTTAACTAAGCAATTTTAGTAATTCTACCATTATGGATTTCAGGTATCACTTAATATTAATCTGATTTTTAAAGGTCAATAATAAGTAGATTTCCATTTTGAGTTCCTGCATATATAGTATTATTATTCCTCATACAAATAGAATGAATATGATCCTTCTTCTTTTCTTTAATCACTTTTATAGTTGACTTTTGACTTATATTCCATATTCTAATTGTATAATCAATAGCCATAAATAAGTTATCGTACCAAACAAAATAATCATTAATTTTTGTAAATTTACTTTGATAATTAGAATATTAAGTGAAATCACTAAATCTCCAAAATATTATAGAATTCTATCCTGAAGTCATAAATAAATTATCATTTAATACATAAATGATATCACACTTACTTTTCTTATGTGCTTAATTCTTGAATATAAGTTCTTTATTCTCTATGACTAATAGATATCCTTCACTCGTACCAATTAATTTCTATATACCATTATTACTAATAGCTAAAGCTGTTATATATTAATTTTAGATTTTTAAATAATTGCTTATATTATATGATTCAATAACATTAACCTATTAATCTCTACATTAATCTAATAATTTCTTAGTTTCAATATTTGAAATCAGTCTTTTGTTTTCATCCTTATAATCATATATTAGAATAAACTCTTATAAGTTATTAAGACTCCATAAATGTATCAGCTTTTCTTCAGTCAATGTTATTATTTTATATTAATCATCAGAATAAAAAATGGAAACCTTAGATATTTGGGAGGCATAATGATTTATCTCATTTTTAATTTAAAAGTTTTGTAAATCCCAAATATATAAATATCCATCATCACCTCCTGAACATAAAATATTTGAATCTTGAGATATGGCTAAACTCTTAACTGGTAATTAATGTTTTTCAAGATTTTAACCAATCTATTGTCCAGTTTAGGTATTCCAAATTTTTATTAACAAATCACTAGAACCAGATATTAATAGGGTTCCATCAAATGAAAATATACAACATTAAACAGTATTAATATGACCCTATGGATTACTATTTTATGTATCTTAACTATCCAAGTCCCAAATTTAAATTTACCCTTAATTTTATCCAGTTACAGCTAGGTAAGTATTAGAGATTAATGTTAATGAGAATATTTTAATAAAAGCTGTAAAATTGGCTTAATTAATTTATGATAATTATTAAGTACTCCATAAGATTATAGACTAATCAAAAGAACATGAAACTAGAATTTTACCATCATCTGAAAATTTCAATTCAGCTATTGCTTTCTTGTGTCCACTTAGACTTACAGGTGATTCAATTTATGATAAATTATAAAGATTTATTTCTCCCTTTCTACCACCAACTGCCAAAAGATTCAATTCTAAATTACTATCTATACAAATGACTCTTTCACATTTTGTTTCAATTTATTTCATCGATTAAGTTAGTTAATTATATAAAATTATAGTTTTT